GTGTCTGCAGCTACACTTAGATGTTTACTGACTAGTTTGATAGTGATTTTCTTCCGACCTGGGTGTGTGTCCCTCTTAAATTAAATCTGCTCATAAACAGTTTTAGATATAGACTCTAAGAATCAGCATTTCTAAAAGACCACCTGTCAAGACAATTATTTGCAATATTAAAGTCCCCACCGAAAACAATGTGAGAATTGGGAAATTTAGTTAACCAGTGAAGTACTCGCTCCCCTAACCTGTCAATGAAACCATTATTTTCAGGTTAGGAACTGAAGCCATAAACATTTACAACAATTTGCAATATCAAGCACTAATACAAAATAATGACCAACTCTGCCACATTCAGAGATCAGAATTTTTGCATTAAAATTATTTTTAAGAATGAAAACAACTGCTAAGAAATAACTCGGAGCCCCACTGCTCCCTGGTTCGTCCTTTTTGGGCCACGGCAATGCAGAGTATCCGATGGTGTAAGAGGAAGAAGGGGAAATCCTCTTCTGTTATAGATGCAGCAGTTGTTAGTCTGAGCCGAGGTAGTTGTGCAATGTTTCCCTTGATGGTACTCGAAGGCACTCTTATCTGCAGTAGTGAAGTTTGCTTGCTAGTGGAATTATCAGTTATTAGCACCTGATGAGCTTCCATGTTTCTTTTCTCAGAGCTTTTCATATTGTATTAATGTTGCAAGTCAAAAAGAACAAAGTTAGCAAATAAGGCTCTAATTGCCCTACAGCAAACAGAAATACCAGAGCAGCTTCTTTATATAGTATACTCATAGGTAAATCAACATGAAAGTACTGAGGAAGACTCTGGTGGGATTTACAGTGTGATGTACTGATGTCCCTCACAGCGACGTTGTGAGTTGAAAAGCAGAATGTGTGAATCTGACTTGAGCGAGCGCCGCTGAGCACTGGAGGCACTAATGAGAGGTCATTATCACAGAGTTGTGGTTGTAAGTAGTAAAATAAATAAAACACAAATAAAATTTGAATTACACATTTGAAACTCTCAGTAAATTTATGTAAATATCAACTCTACAAATTTTTGAATATTTTTCCTGTAACTCTAAATTTCAAACTACAAGTCAAAATGTCCCGGCAGAGGCTGGAATAGACGGACTCAGTAGCTGAACTCACACGGACGCACAGGTTAGCAGGAGTAACACAACTTTATTGTACAAACCATGAAAGTGCAAGGACAATTAGACGTGACCTATGAACTGAGAATTATTACGTCTGTGAGGGTAATGTAAAGCAATAACTAGAAACAAAACACAATTGCATTACCAAGACAACTAGACCATGAACTATGAACAAAGATTTCCTGAGTCTGTGAGTTTGACGTGAAGCTTTGATTCGAAACAAACATAATTAGACTGAAATAATTCGCTGGAAAGGCTAAAGCTCAGGGGCATGAAGGAAAGGCACAGGCTTCAGGGAACGCAATCTCAACACACTGCAAATAGAGGAGAGTGGATTTAGTGGCTGAGTCCATACAATCCAGAGGAACTATAATCAAAGCAACAGGGGAGGTGGGAGGTCCGGGTGAGGCGGCTGGGTTCTGAGAGCGTGGGAATCCGTGGAATGCAATGACGGCGGCTGGAGGTCAGGCAGGTGAGGTGAGCAGGTCAGAGCTGCCAAGCATAAGCCAGCGACAGCAGAAAAGGTGAGTATTGTCTGGGATGTAGCGTGGAAGTCGGCTGAGCGGCTGCAGAGAAAAAACACAAAGTGAGTTTCTTTCTATAACAATCTCTTTTTAAGCAAA